CAGAAGAGCAGCAAGGCATTTGGATACGAACGCCAAACATTGATCAACATTTTGTAGCAGAACAGAAAGATGTTTAATAAATTAGATTAAATTCATAATGAAGTCAGAGGCTCCATATAGGAGAGTGTAGTAATAAAGAACAATGAGTTGTGATGTTTAACAGGTTGGAGTAAGCTCACATTAAGGAAGGGAAGTCAAGGTTGGTACAAGGAAAACTGTTTATTGGAAGAGAGTGTGCATATAGAGGGTGAAGTGTTAAGAATATCAATAACTATATCTTATATTGTCTAATTTTTTTCTTTTTTGTCCATTTGATGCCGGCCACACAATCCTAGTGTAAAAGTCCGAGTTAGAATGTTATAAGTTGTCCTAGTAGAATAGCCAATCCAGCATTAAATTGGAAACATGAGTCTGAGCGTGAGCGTAGGAAGACAATCTATATCACAGATTGATTGTATGCTATTACACTAATCTACATTTATTTATTCGAGCGCAGTAAGGGATTTTTTATCCTATTTTATTTTAAATTGCTGGTTTACTCCAGAGGTCGATATTCATCACACAATTTTTATTATTATCATAGTTGAACCCTTTCACTAGGTGTTCCTTCTTTCCTTTTTTCCAACTAAATAAATATTATTCTTAACTTTACGAGGTTTGTAATTGGAACAATAACTTAACTTACACTTAAATTAACTTCTTAGACTCGTTTTATCTTCGCTATGCATATATGACTCATAAATATTGATAAATCATTATCCTTTTCACTTAATTGAGACTTTCATAGCATCACTCCAAACTATGACTGCACAAACATTTATTCTAGCATTATATCTTACTGCAATAATAAGTTAAATTTTCTCAATTATTTTTTATTTTATATTATTTTTTTGTTTACCAATTTGATGATACATAGTCGTTTATTCTTGTTCTGTGTTCATAAGCACACCTACTAAACTATTTACGTATTTCACGTCCCCTTTATTTCTATTCCATTATTTTCTTCCGTTCCTACTTTAAACTCAATTCAATATTCTTCTCAATTACATAGAACCTAACTTATTATTATGCTCTTTTTCAAATATGGCAAATATAATGCCAACATTATTGAAACTTCTGTATTATTGCATTTTTGAAGGGACCCGGAGTAGTTTCTTCTCAACACTTATGTACCCATAAGATGTTTTTGAATAATATTAATAATGAAGTCTTTATGCAAAACGAACAACTTAAAGCTATTTAAATTAAAATGATGGTTTTAAATACAGATTAGTAACTTTAGAGGGCTAAACCTCAACAATTCTTAGATCGACGGAGGATAGGGTGGTCGTCCGCAAATGAAGTTTTTCTTTTCTAGGATTGATTGCATTGAAACTCTTTCAAAAACAACTCTATACTCTCACAATAGAATGGTTATCCTCCTAAAATACTACAGTCAAAAGAGTTTAGTATGAGGTGTGCGTTTTTCTTGCTAACATGTACATTAAATTATTTTTGAAACCCCTCTTTCCTTAACGGTAAAAATGGGTTTAGACAATCGAAAACCACCGCACCCTTAGAAGATCCGTAAAGTACTTCTTGGCTATTCACTTCACTATTATTGTTCGGAAGCGTACCTTATGGGGCGAGATGTTAGGATTTGATGGGATGAAGGTAGGTAAAGTAAAAACTCCCGTAATTCAAATTATAAGTTTTATACTTAGAAAGCATCTAAAGACGACTTAGGTAATATCTCATGAGGTGTCATATATGAACCACTGTAGTTGAAGATACATTGTGTGTCAGATAGGCGAGTTTATAAATCTTTGAGAACAATACACCGACATCATTGTACACATAGTGAATGAGAAAATGCAAACTATCAGCCTCCGGTCTTAAGCCATTTGTTACTAAGAAGACTCGATCTATAGGCTAGTCGGGCTTCAAAACCCTCAAAAATATTCACCCATCTTTCTACATGAGAGCTTTACTCCAAAGCTGTGAACACCATAAAAAATAACACGGCGCCTTGTATGAAAGCTCATTTACAAAAACGAAAAAATAAATATCCCTGTAATAAACATCCGTAACGAAACGCTAAAATACTGTACATATCAAGAAGGAATAATATACTTGGATACTAAATAACTGACCTTTTAGATATGACATGAAACAGTTGATCAAAGACGGCTTAACACCTGTTTTCTTGGGTTTGTCGATAAGGAAAAAAATTAATCACCCAATCAAATAACTTTTAAATATCAAGATACAAGGCATCAAATTTATGCTTTAAACATAATATACTAGTCCAGTTACCCACCAGAATCAGGAGATTCTTTATTAAGGTAAGGCTCCTTTTGGAACCATCCCATTTGGGTTCAAAAATCAGTGAAATAAAACTAAACCTTGATTAAATTCGCTGTCAATCTGGATACATACCTACTTTAAAAGAATAATAGTTAACCCTTAAATGTTTTATCGAAATATCACATGGTAAACTATTACTACCGCCTTGCCATAACCTACTAGAGCTCTATTTCTTTGACAAATACTTAGTTGCTTGAGATTAACTCTTAACTAATGAACCTAAATTGTTACAGACCCACCATGACACTATTGGACGCTAAAGAAACAGGACAGTCTGACTAACAGGGTTGAGTAGACCAGGACATGCGTTTATTCTATGGGATAATTTCAACACTTACTCAGTTACTTATACCTGTTACTCCTTGTGGAGGCGCATAGGCCACCCATCGGCACTCTCCATCCACCAATGTTCTCGGCAACCCTTTCCTGCCCTTTGTAGTTGTTAGTCATCCTTGTCTTCCCCTACGTAATGTGTTATTTGGCGTTCTCTTTTCTGCTTCCCTTCAGGGTTCGAAGTTAGGGCGGTTTCCGTAATGTATGTTTTATCCACTTCCAACGTCTTTTCCTAATTTTCTTTCCAGCTGGAAGCTCGTGTATCCTCTCCCACAGAATGGTGTTCCTGATGGTATCCGGCCAATGAATGTTGAATATCTTGCTCAAACAACAATTTATGAATAATTGTACTTCATTGATGATATTTGTAGAAGCTCTCCACATTTCAGCTCTGTACAGTATAACTGTCCTGATGTTTGTATTGGAGATTTTGACTTTGATATTGGTTGACAATTGATTTGAGTTCCATATGTTCTTCAATTGTAGGACTGTGACCCTTGCTTTGCCAATCCTCGCCTTTACATCGACGTCGGATTTTTGTCAGAGTCTTCACCAAACAGGACTATGTCATCCGCGTATTCTAAGTCAATAAGTGGACCTCCTGGAAGAAGATCAATTCCTGAAAATGTGACCTTTCTCACTATTTCATGTGAGGTCAGTCGAGGATTGCTTCGTGTGATTAGAGAGTGGGATTTCAAGAGCTCAAAGGACATGTTGTTTGGCATATCACAGTCAAGCTATCGGGCCACTATAGCGTACTTCTCAGCCGCCCGTTTATTGATCCATCCACGATAGTCTAACGAAAACTTAAATATTTGTTAAATGAACACCCGGAAACACAAACATAATTTTAGTGGCCCTGTATCTAACTCGGTTTTTGTCAAAATATACACATCGCCAACCCTCGTACACTTTTATAGATTTAATTTATATTAGAAAATAGAGGAACGAAATAGACAAATACGAGAATATAGTTTGAATACGTATGTTTCGTACACCCATTGATTTGAATAGACAATTCGAGAAACGACGTGGGGAAAGCGAAACGAAACTAGACGAGGTGAAGTGCAGAGGAGAAGGCGAGTGGATCAACTCGTTTTGATCAAGCGTGAATCAATATCGTTATTCAAAAGAAAATAGATTACAGACACGTAATGAATAGGGTAAGCAACCAAAACATATATGATCATATAAAAAGTCAGGGATAATAAGCGAATAAGTGACAAGGTCGGAATATGACTTGAAGAGTGAATAAGCTAGTCGTGCTTGGTATAGTACCAGACGCTACGTAATAAGTATTGACAGGCTAAAATTAGACCATTTACATGATGAACCACCACATGTGGTATATACCTGAGAAAATGACTTAAGAATCAACATGTGACAACAAGAACCATCCAAACACCAACAAGCAGGTCAGGTGAGTACATGTTTAGCTCTAAAAATGCACAACATGTGTTTTAATATTTCACCAAATAATAAATATAAAAAAACAAAAAAATACGGAACCGTTTTAAGTGGTCGGTCTACAAAAACTGGGCTATTTTATTGTCTCTAAGAGGTCTATAAAACTTTGGGAGACGAGTGCAGTAATTTTAAAGAAGTAGCATATACAAGACCCGAAAGCTTGTAATTCAAGATGTCTCTTGGTTTTTTCCAAATACTAGCGTAAAAAAAATAGATTTAATATAATCCTATGCTTTTAGCCTAGCGTCACCGTGTCAGTGACTTCACCGCTATACACATTCTTTGACCTTACGGAAACAGAATCTGGTGACTTAACTCGCAGTAACTACCCATAGTAATTTAAAGACCGAACGATGAAAGCTCCATAACCAAACCACCCAGCTCAGTGAATAAAACTTCATCAAATCCGAATTCATTTTAGTGCAAAAAAAGAAAGATGATTAACTGTGCTCATGATTGATACTTTGTGGATTCTTCAACTCATATTCGACGTCTAAATAATATTCAGTATCTTATGAGGATTATAAAAATCGTGAAATTGTTCGGTCATTGTACTCTTGGGCATATATTTGATGAGGTTCCAAGCAGACGTTTGAGTAAAGTGCACCCTGAGAATATACATCAGTTTCATTATCATTATAAAGCAGAGATGTGGTATATTTGGCTGGCGTCTAGTCAGTGATTCAAAAAGACCCTTATATTTCCATATTGTTTACTTAGCTCAAGAAGTTCATCCATAGAACCAACTTGGAAAGACGATGAAATTCCGGATCAGTCTTTTAACCTGCCGTTAAATTTCATCCAATGAAAATGAATTAATGGAAAGTTATTCACAACAAGTGTTTGAATATTGTCATATAATGAACGTCTGACCTAGGATTCATTTTAAAAGATTGTTAAGATGCCGTCGGATGTAAGTGGAGTTGGTTTCTGCGTCTTAAGGATTGTTTTTTTGTGATGTCATGAAATGCTTTCTTATCATGCTGAGAGATGAAAACATCACTGGCCCTATAACTGGTATTTTGTAGGCATATGGACGGCTTTTAAGAAACTGATACCTGAATCATACAAAATTAAGAATTTTTGTCTTCCAAAAAACAATAATTGTAAACAGATTTTCAAAGCATCCTTTATTTGGTTGTTTTTTTCATATTGAAGGAAGATGTCTCCGTGACTACCTACTTTTTTGGAGTTTGACACAAAGATAATATTGTTAATTGACACTTCACATATATTGTATCAGGACTTTGTAACAACTAAAGCTCCTGTTGTTTAACATAGGATGTCTCGATGTTGTATTATTCCAGTGTATTATTTTTCATATTGTCCGTGTCTTTAATTAAAGTGTTTATGATCTCGACTGTTCTGAAAATTTGTATTTACTGTCGATTTGATGCGTTTTAGACTTCTAGCCTTTTCAAGGAACTAACACTCAAAGATGCCGAGAAAGCTTTGGCAGCGGATTTGGATTTGCTTGTGAATACTATACCGAATTCATCTCCAGAAAAAGAAGCGTTCATAAACCAGATGGCATCTTTCAAAGAGTTGTTTAAGCAATATTTACATGATAAAACAGAAAAATTTGATTGGAATATGATGGAGCCTGTTCCATCTGAAAGTGTAAGATGATGTTTTTCTTGTTTTTAATCTTTTAGCTCTTGCTGGAGTTTTACACCATTTTAAGATAATTCATTAGATTTTACATATGTTAAGTTTGTAATGTTGGGAAAAACTGTTCTTGACCTAATAACAATGTTATACGTATTCCTGAAAACTTTACTATATTTAATACCTTAGTCTAAATGTGATTTAGTCACGGTTGCTTATCTTTAATACATTTTGTCAAAACCCTACATAAATTTCTTTGATTAGTTTGGACCGAGAATGAATATTTAAATTTATAGAAAAAAGTGAATGGATTTTACTTCAAGTTTCCTCTCTAGGTGCAAAGTACTTGGGATTACAAATAGCAATATTATCATAAATGCAGTTCTACGTACCTTGGTCAATAATCATGTTCATAGTGACATTAATATCTGCAGTTTTAGATTATTTGGTGATAATAAGAAACTTTGGATTAAAATGAGTTCACCTTATTCTATGGATCTTGTTATTCTTGCTCTGCCTTGGAAATGAATATATCTGTCGACTCAAAAATTACAAAATTTCTACCACCGTTGTAAGTTAACTGAAACACTACTGGTCACAAGAAAGTTGTGAATATTCCTTGTTTCATCTACTGAGGCTCTATTTTAACTAGTTCTGATGCATATCTAAGGTTTAAATGAGAAGTTGTAATTAAAATAACCCATAGTGTCATTGAATAAGAAAAAGAGTATTCAGCGAAGTAAACTTTCTTTTAAACTCTAATCAGCTATTATTATTACCTTATTCAAGTTTTCATGATTATTATTCAGTTTATTATCATGACCTTTGTGTTTGTCGCTTTTCTTCATATTTGTCACTTGGACTATTATCTGACCTATAAACGATTTTCTTCCTTACCCCTTGATTAGTACGTGACCCCATTTGTTATTTTCCTCGAATCCATTTTGGTGATGAAATTTTTTCTATCCTCCAACAGACATAAATTTTCTATATAACTATATATACGAATGTACAGTTTAAGTAAATGATTTTGTCGAAAAGAAAAATTTTCTTCGCTGAATTCTCTTTTTCTTATTCAACGAGAAGTTGTAGGTTATAGAAGTGGTTAAAGCAATTTACCATTACTGAACGTTGGACATTTGTTGAAACAATATCATCTCATAACCGTAATACATCAAGTATTATAAATCTGATCAAAACACAAAAGTGTAAAATTAGTTTAGTAGTATATATGAGCGGTACAACTTACAATTAAGAAACGTCTACTTAAAGCCACCAGCATGATGAGTAGAAGTAGTTAAATTTGATGAACTAACTACGAATTCTTGAGGTCATCTAGCACCTACCTTAGTAATCACGAATCCACAAGTATTCAAATAGCAGGAAAAGTGACAAGCACATTCGGTATTGTAATTTTTTAACTTTAATTAGGCTCTTAGTAGTTTAGTAAGTAACTGATGAAATACAAACACCACAAAGCGTCAACTGCATTGTATCATGTCTATAAAAACTATGAGTTGCTAAAACGATGCAAATAGAGTAAAGCTAGGATCCATAACTTATTGAAGGATAATAAATTTTCTAAACAGCTTCAAAAATCTAACAATAAACAGGTTATACAGCTCGTAATTACGAAATCTTACTACAAAATGTTTTGTATTTCTAAATCGATTATTATTGCTAATGGATGTATCTATCGTAGTTATCAAAGTTTACGAAGTAAAATTGACATAAGGATGTAGTAATTTTGAGTTTTCTGTCGCACAATTGTTTTTCACCATATGTAATTTACTAATTTTACCACCCTTTACTTTAGAAAATATAATCTAACTTATTACTTGTTTAGCGTCCAGACTCCAGTACGTTATTTAAGCATTTTTTAATTTTCAAATTTTCCAATGTTTAGATTAAAATGTACGATGCCCTTCATGTTCCTACCGATCGTGAAGTAATTCGTCAACAGTTAAATAAGTTAGTAGTGGTGAAACTAAATGGTGGCTTGGGCACCACGATGGGTTGTACTGGACCCAAATCCTTAATTTCTGTAAGGAGTAATCTTACTTTTCTCGATCTGACTGTACAACAAATCGAGGTGAGTAAAAAGAATAGGAAAGTTGTTCAATACACATTGCTGTTTTTATGTTTACCTGTATTTATATAAGACATAAAATCGTATGCAACTGAAAAGAAACAACAAAAGATGTATTCATCCTATTGCTTTGGTCAGATTTATTAGTAATACAATTGCAAGAAATATTTTGAAATATTCAAGCTAAATAATACAAATTATTAATCATGATAACTGTACGATTATATTTGTTCTCAAGCTTTAAGGCTTTTATTTTGCCAATTTACAAGCCAAGAACCAAGAGCGCTGTTAATTCCCTAACAAGTAACAAGTTAAGTTTATGATAAACTAAATACAAGCAATGTACAGCTGGATACTATTTTTCTACGTGTTCAAGTTACAAGAATCAACATCACCATATCTGGATGAGATTATCAATAAGAAAGCCAAAAGAATGGAAAGTTTTTTTACCTAAGTTTAGTTCTAACGTTTCTGAATTATCAAAATTTCTAGCAAATAATAAGTATTGAATATAGTTAAAATTATTGAATTTGTTCTTAAAATATTTTAATAGCCAATTAAATTTTTAACATAACCCGGATAATTCTAATGATAAACTACTGGAATGTCATATTGTTGGGGATGTTAGATCCCCAAAACTCATAGTTTGTAATTTTATATTTGTGGAGCTTGTATGTCGATTTATGATTGGGCATTTATTACCACCCACGTACATAGTCGATTGACGAACTTATGGATTAAATGTTTAAAAAAACTTCATGGCAATATCGATTATATATTTATGGATAAATACGCTTGATTTGTGTGCCTGATTGACCTGGCATCGACTAGTTGCCTGTAGAATACACTTCTACGTCTTACCAAGACTTCTTGATCGAGTTAGCTGAGTCGGAGACAACGGACCAGAACAGCCTATCGAGTCTCTGAATCCTTAATTCTTCGTTCCGTTCCGAGTAAGACTAACCAGTAGTAGCAGTCAAGCGTAACGAACTTAACAGATATTATAAATACTTTCGATTGATCATGGTAAAAGTAGCTAGAAATCTCAATTAGTTTGTATTATTGATGGTTGGGTTATCTTTGAGTTGAAATATTATGCCATTAGAAGAAATCAATTTTAATACATAGCTACCTGTTTGTTGCAAATTGTAGTTTGTTCTTCTAATTCAGTAAGTTAACTACTTATTTCTAAGTTTATTATGTATCTTTGTCTGAAAAATGCCTTCTCATATTAGTTCATAGAAAGTATCACTGGTGATCACGTAAAGACTTTTATATTACCTCCGTTTTAGAGACTAAACAATGAATACGGAACGAGTATTCCCTTGGTTTTGATGAATTCCTTTAATACACATACTGAAACTGAAAAGGTTTTACGCAAATACCAGCAAGTTAATGTTCAGATTTTGACGTTTTTACAAAGCTGGTAAGTGATTTTAATAATTAATACAAAATTCTTTACTATTTAATCTTATTTACCAACGAAATGAAACATTCCTACACTTTCAAGTTTTAGAACAAATGATAGACAACTTTTGGAGTTCTGTTCAGAGGATTTTTAACACAACCAGATTCAAGTCGAATAAACAATTAAAATTTAAGACGTAGTAGAACTATAAAAAAATGCTTATCAATATTATACACTATTGTATCCTATTCCATTCAGAAATTATTATTTATTTATGAGGATTTGAACAATGTCGATTGAGTAAAATACAAACCATAGTTATTAACATTTTAAAAGTTTGACTGTTTTTGCTAATTTACCATTTATATTTTGGTTTTGAGAAAAATAGGTTTTGTCACTTTTTCTTCTTCGTCTAGCTATCCTCGTCTGAATCGAGAGTCATTACTTCCTATTGCTAAATGTGCTGGTCAGGAAAGTCATGATTCTGGAACAAAGACTTCTAAAGATATGAACTATAATCCTGAAGAATGGTATCCTCCTGGACATGGTGATTTCTATCGTAGTTTTGTTGCTTGTGGATTAGCAGAGAAAATGATAGCTATTGGTAAACAATGGGTTTTTATGTCTAATATTGATAATCTTGGAGCAACTGTTGATCTGAGTATCCTTTCTTGATGACGGTAGTTATTTAAATGTTTTTCTAATACAAGTTATTTGTATCGTATTAAAGTTTTCCTGAATCTAAATTTATTCGACAGGTTGTAGAGAAAGTTTACATGGATACTTGCCAGTATTTAAAGGAACAGCTTGATAAAAGGAGTCAGTCAGTCAGTAACAATGTAGAACTTCGTACGTACGTACATCAGTTCGAGTTGCCATACCATATTATCACAGAGATGCAGTTGGCGATTCAAATCCCATAGTGTTAGAGGTAGTAAAATTATAAGCAGTAATCGGGAAGATTACGGTTTGAAGGTGGTATTCAAGGAGTATAATACAGTGAAGCAAATTTGGAGAGAGAAAAAAAGAGACAAGGAGAATTCAGAAGATTAGAATTTGGGAGAGCACAAAGAGTGGATGCATCTGCTCCACTGCAAACGATTTTGAGCCATGTCATTCAAGGTTTCTAACCATCAGTTTCTATCATCTCGCCGATCCCAGGAACCAGGTAGTCTACACCTACCAACATGGCTCAGTCCACTTGTCAGTGACTTCATGGATTTGTGCCACCTTTTGGTCTGGCCGCCCCTAGCTTTCTTCCAATCTACTCCTACACTATAAAACATCGCACATCGGGGCAGTCGGTGGTATAAAACGTATGTTTAAGGTAACGTCAGCAATTGAAATTCTAATGTTTCTTGTAGAAAGCTTGTTAAAGCTTTCACAGTATAATAAACAAAATCAAAATGTTGGGTAAATAACTTCTAATATGTCAAATTAACCATACTATTTCAACAAACCTACTTTTATAATGCTGATTTAATTATACAAATATAATTCATATATTATGGAACAAAACTAATCAAGTACATAATGAAACTAATTCATATGTATTTTCAGGCAAAACAGAATTCTGTTATTTTCAATCAACTGAGTGAGGGTTAGTTTAAAATAATTAAGATCGGTATGATGGTAAGCATATACTTCAACTATATCAATATTGCCAACTACTTTCTTGATAAGATAATCCTAGTTTTTAAACAAATAACATCTATTCAATTATATATTTACTAAGTGAATATACACTATTAAAAGTATGTATCATTACCAAGGTTTGATTTAATAACTCCGAATAAATTGAGCATTGGGTAGATTTGGTTATTTATTCTCTGAAGAATTGGAGGTACCTGAAAACGAAATTGGATTAAAGATGGTCTTAGTGACCTGAGAGCGTGACCGCAGTGCCTAAGGGACAACTGCTTGAGGTCGGTCACTCACAACCTTTTAGTGGGTAATTTTCGTGTTAGATCCGTATTTATTGAGACCTTACCGCCGGAGACGGATATCCGTGGGATAAGGCAAGGTGTGCATTTTTACGGTCGACCTTTTCTAACCCCACCCTCCTTGTGTGAAAGCAGCTGGTTGTCTGAAGGAAACATCTTACTGCCGTCAAACCTGTACAATTGGCAGTACGAATTTGCCTTCAGACCTTGGATTTGTTGCTTTTAGTCTTACCTCTCTTCAACCGACCTGTCTGACATGATAGGACCTTGAGGAATGGTTGTTCCAGCCAGTATAGCTCAGTTGCTTCATCACGATAGGCAAGGCTGACTACCATATCAAGGTTGCAACAACGATCGGGTCTCTAAAGAAGTGGCTTACACTAAGTTACGAAATGTCAGAAAAATAACTTTATTATAAATTTAAATATTTTATAAAACTATTTTCCTTAATTTACACCCATTTTAAAGATATTCTAAATTTTTTAATGAATAAAGAATTTCATTATGGTAAACAATCACCAGAGTTTGTTATGGAAGTAACTGATAAAACACGAGCTGATGTTAAAGGTGGTACTTTAACACAATATCGTGGACATTTGAGACTTTTAGAATTAGCTCAGGTATAATTTCTTTAATTTTATTTGATGATTATATTTACAAAATTTGAATATAATAAAAAAGAAATTAAAATTACATTAGGAAATATATCATCATTTAATTTTCATTTGAATTATTAGGTCCCTGAAGAACATATTGATGATTTTGCTAGTGTACGAACATTTAAAATATTTAATACAAATAATCTTTGGATTGATTTACAAGCTTTACATCGTAGTGTTAAACAAAAAACTTTACAAATGGAAATCATTGTCAATCCTAAAACTTTAGATTCTGGTACAAATATATTACAATTGGAAGAGGCTGCAGGAGCTGCTATCAAGTCATTTAATGGTGCTTTTGGTAAGAATTAATACATATGTATATCTATGGTTATAATTTAATCTTCTTGACTATTGATCACTCACAGATGACTACTAAATGTTGTACAGAAAATCAGTTACTTGATATTTTACAGTATCTTTTATCTATTAAAATATTTATCGTTGTTATGTTTGTGTCTAGGATGCCATCTGTTATGTACTTGTTAGCTCTTTCCTAACTGTGATTCTATTGTTTATGATTGGAAATAAGAACTGTTGAGGTTCCCATGAAACAAAGTAAAAACAAGGCTGGTATAAGTGGACATTTATTAAGTTTTTGATTAAGATCATGAATCGACTGATTTTAGACCACCGTTGGAAACCTGGAAGCACTGGACGGCCGTTTCGTCCTAGTATGGGACTCCTCAGCAGTGCGCATCCATGATCCCGTGAGCGGGATTCGAACCCAGGGCCTTCAGTCTCGCGCGCGAACGCTTAACCTACTCGACCACTGAGCCGGCATCCAATGGTGTTGGTGTCTAACATCAATCAATCCACGAAATTGCGCGACCATCTTCCATTGTACTGAGGTAGATACCTGTCTCTACCCGACACGGATTAGCTCCACTGGACATTTATTAGCTGGAAAAATATTGAAAACAAGTCCTTAAAATAGGTCATCCAAAATCATATCAACATTAAACTAGGGACGCTCATTTACATACTGATTTTAAGCGAACATGATAATTAGTTAGTAAACATCATAAAAGTGACAAGTTAATCAGGATTACTGTAAAACACATGTAAAATTCACACATAATAATACATAGAATATAATTGTCATATTAGAGCAAAAGTTCACACTTGTCATACTGAATGAAATAAACATTTAATTGGTTCACACATATTAACTTGATGTAATGTTACATTGGGAAATACAAAAAACAATATCATACTGATCAAAATTTCATTTGGAATCAAATTGATATCAAAAAATGTTACTATGGGTTAAAGGAAATGTGAACTCGCCTTTTTATCCCCGACTTACTGGCCATATATTTAGGTCAGATATTTCGGTCTACGAATATTACTGAGGTGGGCGTTATGTTTTAGATATCGTTAATAAGTTATATTTAAATGATGGTACTAAGGTGTCGATTGTTACGCTTATTGGTTTGACAAAAAGAAGATGGATAATTAGTTACTTTGATGGTAGTTTATTTTTGGTCAAATTAACCTTCATGTGACTACATGTCATTCTTTAAATGAAAATAGATCATTCATGAACGAACTAATGTAATTACAGAACAGGATTACCACATCTAGAAAGCTTTATAGTGTTACTTTTCTCTAGCAAGCAGGAACTGTAAACTTTACCCCATGATATTGAGATGGGGGAGAAGATTTGTAGCTCAGGTGGATGATCTTGATGGAGTTTTGTTCCTTTTGTTGATTTCTGTGCTTGAGTTGGATTCTGATAATGTGTGCAACTGGTATTTTTTTGATGAAGTTGATTGGGTAGCCGTAGCACGAATTATCAAAATCCAAGTCAAGCACAGAAATCAACAAAAGGATCGCTCTACCATACATAAAAGGCATATCAGAAACCGCAACGAGACTGCTGAAAACCTTCGGAATAGGTATGGCACACAAACCGACAAAATCACTACAACCAATCCTATGCAAACCAAAGGATGAAATAACAAAAGAAGACAAATCAAACATCATCTACAAAATGAATTTCGCTAACTGCGAAAAACAATACATCGGACAAAGCGGACGCCCTCTTCACCTTCACCTGCATGAACGTCAATTAGCAGTTATTTCCTCACTTATATTAATACACGCGGACACTCATTTGACTGGAAAAATTTGGAACTCTTAGATCGAGGAAATTCCGAAAACACCAGAGAATTTTTAGAAGCCTGGCACTTAGGTCAATCAGCAATCAACAAGCATATTGAAATCGATCCAATTTATCAACCAATCAGGTAAATTATGCATAAACATAGGAACATAAATCAAACCAATGCGAGACACAACCAAAACAAAAAAGTAAACAATGATAAATTTAAGGTCAACAAGAATCAATCAACACCGACGTGTACATGACAAGCTGTGAAACACATGTGGAGAAATTCGAACACTTCACTTCTATCTGAAGTTTGTGCTGATGATGATGTCGTTCAGAATAACAATGAAAGCTCCACAACGAAAACATCCAGCTCAGAGAATAAAACTCCATCAAAATTACCCCATGATAAATAATATACACATTGTGGTTTCATTTCAAAGATACAATTTTACTTACGTTATTTCATTTATAACTTAAAAGTATGTTTTTTTTCTTGTCAAAAAATTGTTTGCTAAAAAGAATAATTATCATCTATTTTCAGGTGTTAATGTTCCACGAAGTCGTTTCTTACCAGTTAAAACTACTTCAGATTTATTGTTAGTAATGTCTAATTTGTATGTATTAGATGGTGGAAGTTTATCATTGTCTCCATTAAGAAGTTTTCCATCTGTTCCTTTAGTAAAACTTGGTAGTCATTTTAAAAAAGTCAAAGATTTCTTAAGTCGATTTACAAGTATACCAGATCTACTGGAATTGGATCATTTAACTGTATCCGGAGATGTATACTTTGGAAAAGGAGTAGTTTTAAAGGTAATGTTTAGATTGAAAGTAACTGTATTAATAGTTGTTTTGATTTTTTATAAAATATAATTTGAACTTTAATAATAGTATGTACAGAACACAATGCTTATACTATTATGTTTAACCAAGTGGTAACCGTATGAACTTTGCTAAACAGTATCTTACGAGATGCAAATAAGTAAATAAAGCGAAAAACATGCGAAGTAATGGGATCGATGTATGTTTATCTTAATGTTAGATGGTTAGAGATACCTTGGCCATAGGTCTCGTTAATAAGACATAATTGTATTCGTGTAGAAATTGGTAATCTCTTAAATATTATTACTAAGCTATTCAGCCCATGACTAACCCGTAAGACTTAAATATTTACATTACTTGATCAACAAGTAGTAACCCATAATATAACAAATCACGTCGACTAGTGGCCACATCATAACTTGATAGATAGAATTAGATTTGCAGAACTAAATGACCACTAGAGAAACAGGACATCTATGTTAATCCACCTAGTATTTTGAACGGTATTCATAGTAAAACCTAGATTTTAAATAACAGATTCGTTTGAAAAGTCACGTATTATACTTGCTACTTGCACAAAAGCAAGTAATTTGGGTTTAGAGAGCAAGAGACAATGGAAATACACTTACATGATTTCAATCACTAGATATTGTTTCTAAGGTGTTCACTAGAAGATTTTCATTTCTGTTACAAAGTCTCTGTGATTTATTTCGAATGATATAGAATATAAACCAGTTTCAACTTTTTTTTAATGATATGCTATTTTTAAAGGTAATTTAAATGGTTTCTTTTGTGTAGTTCACACCACGGACTAAATATAGGGAATTTTCGAAAACCAGGAGGGATTGAGGGGTTGTGCTCATTAGTGACTTATTTCAAGCATTGATTCTCTTAAGTCTGATGTGAAGCTGTGACCAGTGGAGTTCAACCATATCGATTATGAGGCATTTATCCACTAATGATGTATAAAGGTGGTAATGCAATAATGCGAATTAATTAATGTTACATATATGAACAATTGGATGGCATTTCAGTGATCTAAAGGTTAAACACTCTCCATTATATCTGAGAATCATGAGTTTGATATGCAGTGGGGTTTTAAATATGCACCACTGAGCAATTCTCATGCTAGGATGAAACAAACTGTCCATTGCTTCTTGGTTTTCATACTAAGGTCAATGTATGATACTAACCATAATATTCAAGTTTTCATCTCTCTTGCATTACCTACAGTCGCCACCTTTTCCATCTCTTTTGCTTTCGTTGCCAACCACTGCTCATGGTTGTTCGTTAGACTTTTGCTTAACCTAGATCTGATTTGTTTTCGCTCTTCATCGTATTCAGAGCTTAATTGGATGAGTTTACAAGGATTCATCAGTGCAATAGGCTTAGAAGAAATCCATTGGTTTTTTATAACTCTTTGGTTTAAATCACTAACAGATGTTACTACTGTTTCCATAGATGTTTGTATATCTTTTCAAACAACATCTTGGTCAGCCTTTTTTTCAGGACTATCTAAGTGTGATCTCAGTTGTTCCTGGAACCTACTTTTAATTTTCTCATTACTCAATTTCATTCTAATGGGTCTTCTTAGTTTGCTTTTTGTGTGTCCAATGAAGTGTAAGCAGATGCGTGCCTATATTAGAGCATGGTTGGAGTTCAAGCTAGTATTCCAATCTTCTATTGACCCTCTCCAACAATGACTGATAACAATATGATCTATTTGAGTCCATTGTTGGTTTGGTGCAGGGGGGGGGTTGTTGTTTAGCTGATTACACTGATAACAAATATTTACTTTTTCTTCTATAAAACAAATTTAATAAAATAGTCGTTGTGTTAAATTCTTCTTTTTTTTTTATTCTTTCAGGGTACAGTTATTATAATTTCTAATTTTGGTAATCTTATTAATATACCACCAGGTTCAATATTAGAAAATAAAATTGTTTCAGGAAATCTACGCATTTTAGATCATTAATTATTTTTAACATTTAAAACCAATTGAAGTTATTACACTTAATTAATATTAGAAGGTTGTATTTGTCATGTTTGTGCTTTCATTGTTATTATTATTATTATTATTATTTAGTATGATTCATTTGAATATAACATTTCCAATGTTCTTATTTATAACTTCATTTCATTTTACCCCTAATATTATATTTACTGTATCTTATATATATCTAAACTGATTTAGGTACATATAATTTATACTTTGCAATTTGCAATTTTCATATTACCTTGATGAAGAAAGTGATAATCTTTTTCTTTTCTTTTTCATTTTGTTTAAAATAAATATCATATTCATTTTTCAAATTGTAAGTAGGAAATATTATATATTTAAATATAATAATATTGTCTTTTTATTCATTATTATTATTTGAACACAAAAATATTGGTACAAGGGGGGCACCAAATATATATGCGCCACACAAATTTTCATTTTATTTGTGTGTGGGCTGTGATACTGCACGGATGCCCTAACCGAAGCAGGTGGGTCTCTTAGGAGGGCCACACCCCGAGTCTTCGACCTAAAGATCTGATCCACAAGACAGTGGAGTATCGTAAGGAGATGCAGTCCTATGGAAGCCGGTGACAAACGATTGATTCATACTCCATTTATTCCCTCAGGATCGTGGAGCTCATGTTCACTATTGGTTTGGAATGGGGGTTTTCCAAGCCACCCCCCCCCAAGGTGGATCCTCCGTGTCCATCAACCCGGTTAAAGCGCCGGACATTCACTTTTCGTCCTCTCAATTTCGTAAACAGCAGTAGTGCCATGAAAAGGCAGTGAGTAGGACTTTCCTGGCAGAGGCTGTATACACGTGGCCATGTGAGAGCATTTCAAGAGGGTGGGTAGACTCTCCCCACTCTCGGTCGTCCCATAGCATTTGGGGGTACTTTTTATTCAAGACCGGTTTTATTTATTATCATTTCAGTTGAACAAATTCTGTTAATCAAATATTAAAGGTTAAATATTTTCATGAAGTTTTGTTCTGTGAGCTGGATGGTTTAGTCGTGGAGCTTTCAATATTCTCTTGAACGATATCATTAGCATAAACGTTAGGTAGAAGTGAAATGTTTCAATTTCTCCACATATGGTTCATAACTTGTCTATTAGACCTCGATACTGATTGGTTCTTGTTGACCTTAAATTTGTCATTGTTTAGTTGTTTATTTTGGTTATATCTCTCAGTAGGAGATACAACAAGAATCAATCAACATCAAGATGTACAGGAAAAGCTGTGAACTACATGTATGGAAATTCGATGTCGTTCAGAAGAACGAGAATAAAACTTCATCAAAATCATCCACCTGAGTTATAAATCTTTTCTACTATCTCAGAATTAAACATTTTATTGCCAGCTTAAGTGTGTATGATGAGTAACTAACTTAAATATCATTATGTGAAAAGATTTGCCGATTATATGTCAGTTATTCTCATACAAGATGTATAATAAATAAAAGATATTCTTTAGTTTGGATATGAAAATTTCATGAAGTTAATATTCATTTCTTTGGTGGATAAAATGTGTTTGAAATTCTGAACTTATGTTAGACATATTTATCTGTAATTTTCTTATAGAAACTTATCACCTTTCAGTGACTTAAACTCTTGTTATTAACCATTAGTTTTGGGTTTGAATATTATACCAGTTATAGTACTGTGTGATTGTATCCAGTCAAATCTTGCTGATATTTGTAATCTTATTTCTCTCTATATGTGCTGTTGTGTTAATTATAAGGATAGATTATTTTTGATTCATATCACTTATTTACAGTTCTGTCTATGGTGGGATTAATATAATTAAACACAGTTAGATCTTTATAATGTTGTAAGCTGATTTTCAATGCACTTATTTGAGTACATTATCAAAACTGTTTTAGTATGATATTTACGCTTTACTCAAATATAAGTGCATTTTTTCGCAGTGCTCTAGTTATATTTTAAATTATAATTTATACAGTTTCTCCTTATACTAACGCAAACTCGTTAGCTGAGCTACTACTAAGAGGTTATGATGATGAACCTGAAAGTAGTAAGGAAATATGGATATTAAATTGGGAAGACAAATAGTGGGACTTTTTGGTCGAAACTAAGGTTATATCTGGTATTTTGTACACTTAAATTTATTATTACTGGAAAGTAACATATACGTAAGTTTTTGTGTTGGGGGGGGGGCACTGAGTAACCCATGGTAAATCATGTTTATTTTAGCATGGATAGAGATTATGATGTACTGTTGTCTTTGAACAAATGTCAGCGTACAGTCTCTGATCACTGGTGGTTTGTAAGTTTAGTGTTCATTATATGACAGAACGTCTTGATAACGATTTCAAGGTATTTCCATACTAATACCCACAACAGTCTTTGTAACAAAACATAGTCACGTTGATTTTTAAAAAAATGCGGAATGAACTAATAATGAAGCCTAAGCGTTGGTTGCAATATACTGATCATTTTCATAAACTCAGATTCAAAGCAAATATTAATTAGTTTTATCTAGGATAGATCGATCAAATTAAAATAGTACACTAAGGTTTTATTGTGTCCCTACTATTTGTTGTGTACTTGATCGTTCTGATCTGATCTGACTGCAGGTAAGTAGGTAATCTTGACCTGACCTCTATAGTTTATAGTAAACGTTTTTATTTAGATTCTTGTATGAAAGTTGATTAACTTTGACTGAATTAACTTTTATAAACAAAGGAAAACCTGTCATTTTTATCAATTTGTGTGACGGACAAAGGTAATTCAAGAGTGAACTGATCATTATACTTGTCAATGGTGTAATGGTTAAGCGCTTGCGCGCGAAACTGATAGGTCCTGGGTTCGAACCTTACAAGGGAGCGGGATCGTGGATGCGAACAGCTAAGGAGTCCCATACTAGGACGGAACGGCCGTCGCCCTCGTGGGGTGGGCCCTCCCTCCGTCTCGAAATGCTCTTACACGGCCACGCGTATATAGCCTCTGTCAGGGAGGCCCTACTCACTGCCTTCTCGTGGCATTACTGTTGTTTACAAAAATGAGGACAAAAAGCGAATTTCCGGCGCTTTAACCGAATCCGGAACCAATAGTGCACATGGGCTCTAGTATCCTGAAGGAACAAATGGCGTATGAACCAATCGTAGGTCACCGGCTACCATGGGACTGTATCTCCTTACGATGCCTTGTGGGTCAGACCTTTAGGTCAAAAGCTTGGGGTGTGGCCCCATAATAAAACCACCTGCTTCGGTTAGGGCATCCGTGCAGTATCACAGCCCACACACAAATAAAATGAAAATTTGTGTGGCGCATATATATTTGGTGCCTCCTTGTACCAATATTTATGTGTTCAAATAAATAAATAACTAGAACGAATAAACAATTTTGATAGTATTCGTAAATCTGTCTAAACAGTATGAAAGGATATGAGAAAAAGTTCTCATTATTTCAATATTAACACACTTAATGAATGTTTTTCGCTTTATTACTAATCATATTAATCTAACAAATGAACTAAAGTCTTATTCAACTTAGACTTTAACAACCTAAAAATATATTTTGTATACGATTACCAATAATGAGTCGATTTGACTAAAATTTTTATCGAAGGAAATTTGAGATAAGTCTCATTTTCGATATCACAAAATCAAAGATGAGAATTATATCTTTGGCAAACATCAAATTACATTCATTGGATAATGTTTTATATTTTGAAAATGTATATCTTCCTTTATTCCTAATGATATCCTGTTAAAGATGCTTGGTTATCGATTATCTAAGACACATCATAGTAATGATTTGATTAGTACCGAGTTGTAATACAATATACCAATGGTAATTGGCTTAAAATGATGAATTCAAAAGATAGTAAGGAAATATATAAATATTTATTTATTTATTATGTAGATTAAACAAAATCATCCAAATAAATCCAACCGAATTCACAATTGAAATTGTTTTTAAATTTTAGAAATTTTCTTTGTTATTTCCCAACTTATTCTAGCCATATCTCCGCAAACATTTAATAAACATTGAGCTTGATTTCTTGAAGTTGGTCGAAGTACAACAACTTCACTTAAGTGATATGATAATAATGCATTTCCACCTAGGCTAGTTGTATGTGCTCCAACAACAGCTTGTACTTCAGCTAGACATGTATGCAAAAAACCTGATATACCACCAATCTGTAACATAAATAAAGTTTTTAAATTTATTCAAGCAGTTTAAATCATATAAGAAATAAATATGGAAACTTATATAAAAATGTCATTGAAAACAGAAGAAATTGCTAGGTGTAGCTGTTTGGTTTTTGATGATTTTTCGCAATAACGTGAAATTGATGAACTTAGACATAATCGAATCTAATGCTAATGGCATGATACCTAACAAAATCATTAAGTTGTGAGACACAGTTGTTGGTATTTCTATGTACGGCAATTAATCATTAAGGAGTGATCAATATCATGTTTGTTTGGTACTTTAATACTGGTCGAATTCTATCAACTAGGTTGCAATGTGGCCGTTAGTCTAAATGACTCAACATCGCGTTATGATATTAGGTGGAGAGTAGTTAGGATACTATGCTTGGCTTAGATTTTGTGCTAGTTATCACTAATCTGGAGATAAAATCTTGAGGGGACTGGTGGTTACCGTGAGATTTGGACCGGTGTCATTGAGCTACTTAAGCTGCAACTGACCTCTAAGGTTTCCTGATGAATATTTCCAACCACATTGAGGTTTTGTTTAAAGAAATCAAACGATCTCTTTATAAAATCAATTCACAGACGTATTTTAATTTGTAATGAGTACAAACATTAAAATTAATATATTGTTCGGTAGAAGACTATTCCAGTTAATTCATTTGCATAATGGAAGTTAATCATAAAGTGTATAGTTTAAGTATACCTAATTTACCATGAACACTAAATAACCAGTGAATAAAGATTCATTTCGAAAAAAAAAATCAATAAGTCAATAATATACCATCATTAATTTTACAGTCGTCTAACACAATGAATTTCGACACCACCGATCTCTTCCTCTCATACTGTAATGTGGTATAATTTCGAACAATATGACAAGTATAACACTGTTATATTTATAGTTTATTTGTAATAATTAACGTTAAAAAAATATATTTAATAACAAAATGAACATACTTCTCTTAGATCAGTCGTTTCTCTAACAAAAAAGAAATCCAAATTACCAAGATAAGCTTCAACATATGTATTCGGTATTGTTGACAATGGTGTAAGTATACAACCGGATGTATGTTGTTTATCGATGAATTGTCGTTTACATTGTTTTTGTTCAGTGGGGATATCGTCATTATTTATCATTATTCCATCAGTAGTCTTCTAAACGATAAAAAACAAACAA